GGGGGGGGGGGGGGGGGGGGGTCCGAGCTCAAAACAGCACTGCAAAGGCAAAGTTTACTCTATCAAGAGTGATTAGATGTCTAGTTTGAAAGTTACCTCTGTCAGCAAGGTGGAGAACGGATTGGAGAATTTAGTTGGTAGTCTGGGAAAGAGGCAAGGCACCTGTTTTCCAGGAGATGATTTGGATGAAAGGTGGCTGGAGGGGAGTTTATGAGACAAACAAATGGGCAGGACAAGATAATTGGGGAAAGGGACAAGAACTGTGAAGAAAAACAGGGCTAAGCTAAGGGGGAGATTATGTTGCATATATGATCCCCATACCTGGAAGTATTAACATCACCCCCATCTTCAACCCCGGAGTTCTAACAGCACCTACCACCTTGAATTGTAAATACCGGTAGGCAGTAGACTCTTTGTAGCCCCACGACAATATAAACTAATAATAATCTGAAAACTGTCTTTTCCCCCCTTCCTACCACGTAAATATGCATTAACGGATATATATTAACACCAAGTTAAGTTGTAAACGAATGGGCTCACACTGGAGTAAAACCCTTTCGCCGGTATAAGCAGCAGGAGATCCCTACCGGCCAGCTGCCAAACAAACAAACAAAAAAGCAGCAGCAGCAACAGGAGAGATCCGCTCCTAAGCCCCAAGCCCCAAGTCCCCTACCGGCCAGCTGCCAAACAAACAAAAAAGCAGCAGCAGCAACAGGAGAGATCCGCTCCTAAGCCCCAAGCCCCAAGTTGTACACTGTAGGAGACAACAGTCCCCAGCCGCAATTCGGGTTCCAGCTCCTCCCCTGGGGCGCGACAACTCCGTCAACGTAAATATCACCCGAGGCACGGGCTCGCCCAGAGGACAGGTGCTAGCTGGGCCGCTCTGCGCCACCCCGCGGGTCCCGGCCGCAGAGTTGCGAGGCAGAGTCTGTAAGAGAGGGCCACGCGCCGTTGTTCTCCGGCCCTGCCTCACTCCCCCAAACGGATTTCTCTCCCGCCTCCCGCTTAACTCCGTCGGCGCCGGACGGAACGAGGCAGGGAAGGAGGCCTGCACCGGGCTGCCGGGGCCCAGCAGAGGCCCACGGGAAAGAGGCTGCAGCAGCCAAACTCAGGGAAAGGTTACGTCTTCTGGGGAAAGGCGTCCCCAAGAACACTCACCCCAGCGCCTCCAGTGTGTCCAGCACGTCTCCTTCCATGGTAGGTTCGGGATCCGGCTCCGGCCCTCTCATGGTCCTTCGGCCCAAAGCTGTTCAGCGCTCTAAGGAGCCCGCCGGAAACTAGCGTCACCGCGCCAAGGTTCCGGTCCAGGTCTCGTCGGTGACTGCCTAGGAGCACCTCTGACTGAGAGCGCAAAGGTTCCTAGCCGGGGGCGCAGTGGGCCCCTGATACTGCTTAAAGCCGTCTTATGTAACATTGGTAATTCTTTAAAAAGATTAATAAAAATAATAAATAAATACTAGTCATCATTAGCCTCTTTGTATTGAGTCTTAAACGCATTTGTTTGTTGAAATCAATCTTAGCAAATACCGTGATTCTATCTGAGTTGATCTCAACCTATAAGACTCCAGACCTCTCTTTTTATAATAAAAATCCCCAAATATATTTATAATATTGTTGAGCTAAAATTAATAAGTAATATCATGTACTTACACATATAATTTTTAAGTCAATATACATGGTAATGCTCCAACTTTAACAAAGAAGAAATAAAGGGAAGTTAACTTATTTTAAAAAATTATATTTCATCATGAAATGTAAAAGACTAATGAAACGATCAGATGCTTCACGAGCAGAGTAAGGTAGTTGATGTGATTTTCTAAAATCGTGATTAACTCTCCATAAACTTCCAAACAAAACACAATAGTCCCACTGTGTACTATTGGTGGAGAATTTGATCTTTATATTTTAGGATTCATATGTAAAAGAGAGTCAGGATATAGGTTCAAATCATTACTGGTGGGTATGTCACCTACATGAATATCCCAGCAGTACTGTTGGAAGTTGTGCAAGATGTATAACTATTGGTCCTTGTAAAGGACTGTCCCCTGCAGTGCAGAATACATAGCATGCCTAGCCCCAGACCAATAAAAGCAAGTAATGCTTTCTCCTCCCTAATCATTGTTACAAACAAAAAACTTACCCATAAATGGATAAAATATCCTGTGGGAAGCTTTCCCATAAATCTGTGTGATGACTATTCTATCATATATCTTAGTGCTATACAAGTTTTTAGTGTAAAATTACTTGCAGTTTAATGTATCTGAATTCATCCCCAAATGAGAGAGGGGAATGTATGTTCTCATGGTTACTGCCTCCATCAAAGAGTTGGAGAACCATGGAAGGTACTTTTCTTAGTAACCTTGGCAAAAAGTCTCTATAAAAATCAAATAGAAATGAGGTAACTGTTCAATTGTTGAACTTAAGTGTTCTGCTGCTGTTTTTCCTCGAAAATAAATAATAAAGAAATAGCAAAACAGAAGCATAGGGGGAAAAAAGGATTTTTTTTTAAAGTATGACAGCTATATGAAAAAGGTGAAAAGGTCTAACATAGTAAATGGACAAACTGGACTCCAACAAGGAGACCACTAAGAAAACAGGACAGAAGCAAAAGATTCTAGCCAAGAATTTTCCAACAAAACAACCACTGTTTCAAAAGCTATGCTAACTCCAAATAGGACAAATACAAAGAAAATCACAATTTAGAAAAATCTTAATTAAAATGCTGCAGGGGAGGGAAAGATAAAGGGAAAATCAAACTTCAACAATAATATAAGCTGACTTCTTAAGAGAAACAATGAATTAAGAAAACAATGGGATAATTTCTTTCATATACTTTAACCACAAATCTAGAATTTTATACACAATGGAAATATCCTTAAGAAACGAAGGCAAAATAAAGATGTTTTCAGATAAAAACTGATATGAATCGTTTCCAGCAAACGCATTTCAAAAGATATATTATAAGAGTTCTTCAGGTAAAACGAAAGTGATGCCAGACAAAAAAGCACGTTCATGTGAAAAGAAAGAAAGAGTACTATTGGAAAGGGTAAATATGTGAGTAAAACTAGATAAATATTGACCATTCAAAACAGAAGTAATGTCTTATGAAATTTAAAATATAGAAAGAATGGTGCGGGGGGAAGGGGCTGTTGATAGCGTTAAGGAACTGTGTGTTTCTTCCATTATCCAGGAAGTGGTAAAATAACTAGTTTATGGTAGTTAATCGAGGTTGCATGTCACATCATTAGGGAAATTACTAAAGGAATAATCAAATATTATATATAACTAACAACTAAGAGAAAGGGAAAATAGAATAATGAAAAATACAAGTAGGGACATTTCACAATGATAAAAGGGTCAAGACAGCAGAAATGGATAAAATTAAAAAGACTGATCATACCAAGTGTGAGCAAGATATAGAGTAATTTGAGCTCTCACACACCACTGGTGAGAATATAAAATTGCACAATCACTTTGGAATTCAGTCTAGTGGCTTCTTAAAATGTTGAACACACATCTACCATATAACCCTCCTTTCCACAACTAGATATTTATCCAAGAGAAAGGCAAGCATATGTCCAGTCTGGAAATAATCCAAATATGCATGTGTGAATGGAATGGATAAACTGTGGTACTTCCATACAATAGAACACTACTCAGCAGTAAAAGAAATGAAACAATTGATACACCCAACAATATAGATGAATCTCAAAATAATCATGATGAGTGAAAGAAGCCAGTCAAAAAAGAGCACTATTAGTGTATGATTTCATTTACATAAAATTCTAGAAAATGCGAAGTAATTTATAGTGACAGAAAGCAGATCAGTGGTTGCCTGGAGACTGATAGGAGGCAGGCAGGTGTCAGAATCTGATGAGAGAGAGGATTACAGAGCAGCACAAAGCAACATTTAAGGTGATTGATATGTACACTACCTTGATTGTGGTGATGGTTTCATGTGTGTGTAATTATAGGTCAAAATTTATTAAGTTGTATACTTTAAACAGGTGCCATTTATTTATGTCAGTTACACTTCAATAAAACTTTTTTAAAAAAATTAACTTATGTAACACAGCATGACAGCCATCACTACCCCCCTTGTGCACCCACAGACTGTTATAATAATGGGCCTTCACCCACTCTGCTAAGCCTAAACTGGACCTCATTGTTTTTAACATGGCTCCTTTTCAGAGTCCGTCAGTCTATCAGAGGTGAAAACCTGAAGAAGAGATAGTTTCCTTTGCTTTGGACAGAATTAAAATATTAGAATTTTCCCAAAAAGCAAAATCAGAATGTTCCAATGCTCCCTCTTGACACCTCCCTTTCTTATGTGGTCCTGACTAGGAGGGGAGATGAGAGGAAGAAAAGCTACTTTATGTAACATGACATTGAAATATTATGAATTCTATCTTATGAAACTTTGTATGTGGATAAGATGATCAGTTCAGGTAAATATTTTGCTCTTCCTTTCACTGAATGTTTTAGCCTATGCCATACTCAGGATTCTTCTGCAAGTAACAGAAGCCTCAACCCAAATAGGCTGAAGCTAAAATGGGAATGTGTTGGCTCAAATAAATTAATAGTCCAAGAGTATCTCTGGTTTTAGGGACAGTTTGATCCAGAGTCTCTTCACAAAGTTATCAAGGCCCTGACTCTATTTATCTGCAAGTCTCTGAGTTCTACCCTCCTTGATGTAGACTTTCTGGTTTTTTGCCTCTTTACACTACAAAAGCGGATTTCCTCTTCTGATGCCCTCTGGAGAGGGAAAGTACCTGGTAAGAGAACTCAGCCACATCTCCTTGCTTCTCACTGCTCCACACTGGGTTCTGGGCCCATTCTTGTACTAATCAGTGAGACCAGAAGCAGAGGCTGTGCTAACTGATCTAAGCCTATCAGGACCCATCCCTGGATCTGACAGTAGAGTTAGCATCCTCTGAGCACATGGAGGTAGAAAAGGGATACTCAAACAACTGGGGAGCCTTACTGACAGAAAGGGGAATACATGTTGGGCAACCTAAACAGCAAAGGTTCACCTTAATACTGTCATATTTACTCTTTTATGTTAAATTTTAGTGCAAATATAAGATACATACATAGATATGTATACATTCATACATACATATATTCACGTATGAAGGCAACTATTACATGAGTAAATGTCAACTAGACAATTGTTAATGACATCATCCTGTATTTCTTTGAAGTATAAAAAAGGTATCACAAAAAATGTAACATAAAGTTAGGAGTAGACTTTGTGTTTGTTTTATTTCACAAGGAATCAGCTATTAACTGGCTTTGCATTCATTTTCATCCAGTTTAAACTACAAACATCCCCTTTTTTTGATGCATACATAATGCTAGGAGCACACATATATTTTAAATGGTGGGCACAGTAACCCACAGCCACAAAATGCTAAATGTTACCTAATTCATCAGCACTAATTTCATACTTTATTAGTTTCAAGCATTTACGATGAAGAGGAAGATCATGATCACGATCATGAAATATGAAATATTTGCGGCAAATTTTGCACCCTACTGTACCAAATTGTTAGGATTCAAAATTTCAAAGCTGACTTTTATGGAGGATGACATTCTCTCCTGCATGGTTTGACTACAGAAAATCTTCACAGACAATGTCATGTGACTGTCATCCCACCAAGGACTTTGGTGAATTGTGTTGTCTATTTTGTGAACGACATTAACGATCAATTAAAAAGATCAGACATATTATATCTGATCACGTCTGTTTTCCCAGAAGGAAATAACTTGGTTATTTTTGTGAAAACAAAAGCCTGTCATTTTTTTCCTCCACTAAACTCCTTAGCCTTAGCCTTAGGATTCAAAAGCTCTGCCAGCTTTCAAATGTCTTAGATAAAGACCAATAAAATTTCCTTTGACATGAAAGAAGATTTGCCCAAGAGAACCTCACTGAATATTTTGTTTTCTGTATTTATCGACATTATAAATATACTTGGACTACCAAAATCAATTAATCTGATTTATTAGTGCTGGAATCTAGTTATTTTTCTCCTTTTATTTCCTGTATAATTTGATCCTGAAACCACTCATTAACTGGTCCCATCCTTGAATAATCTTCTCCCACTATTCAGAGACTATTGGCTCAAATCGGCAGCATTACTGACAGGTAAACCTTTTTCTCTTTAATCGGTGCTTTTATAATAGCAAAGATAGACTTTTCTTTTCCCTAAACCCCCTCCAAATGCTCAACTAGGGGCCGGCCCGGTGGCGCACTGCT